AACAGCCATTAGGTACTCAAGCTGAGTTTAGTTTTACACATAGAAAAACCTCAAGTTAAGAAATTCCATTTCATTAGGCTAAATCAGATGTATTCCAGGAGGGACATGTATATATTCTAGCGTGTATGTATCAGAGACCTGTATGAGTGTTTCCTTCTTTTCTTGCCATGATGGTTTATATAGTCCAAGATAATAATTAATTACTATTCAGAATTGTGAGACCATTTCCGTTTACCTCATTTCATCTGATCCTGAATTTTAACTTACACAATTTGGGAAACACAAACTAAAGAGTTGTGTTTGAATAAGGTATTCCAGGTTTTATAGCCATTATCTCACTTAAGTGAACTTAAAAAGTTTATTTTATTTATTTATTTTTGAGACAGAGTCTCACTCTGCCACCCAGGCTGGAGTGCAGTGGCGTGATCTTGGGTCACTGCAACCTCTGCCTCCCAGGCTCAAGTGATTCTTGTGGCTCAGCCTCCCGAGTAGCTGGAATTACAGTCATGTGCCACCACTCCTGGCTAATTTTTGTGTTTTTTTGTAAAGATGGGGTTTCGCCATGTTAGCCAGGCTGGTCTTGAAGTCCTGGCCTGAAGTGGTCCTCCTGCCTTGGCCTCCCAAAGTGCTAGGATTACAGGCATGAGCCACCACATCCAGCCCCATTTAAGTGAACTTCTAAAGTCCTTTGTGTATAGGGAATTTTGTGTTTGAAAGCATCTTTGTGGCTGAAACAGTTTTTTTTCATTGATTATCTATGTTGGAACATAAAGTAATTTTAGTCTTTCAAATATAGTAGAAGAGAGCTGCTTGATTACCACTGAAGCCCAAGAAGCATGAATTTTAATTTTTCTGAGAATGTGCTTGTGGGACAGTGTATAGAAAAGACTTTAGAGTCCTTGTGTTTAGCATTAAACATGGTTAGAAGATGATATGGGGTGAGATTATCAAAGTAATTGCCCAAGGTAGAGGTTTTCAAACCAGGCAGTTATTAGATTTGCCTAGCTTAGGAGGGGCAAAGTAGTACGTCCCATGCCCTAGAGATATTGGTTTGCCACATCTGGTTTGGACCTTAGACTCTCTTGTTTTAAAAGCGCACCAGCAGTTGATCAGTTTCGGACAGAGAGGCTGTAGGTGAATGACTTTAAAATCAATATTGTGTAACTGTTTTGAAGGTAGATCAATAGAAGGAGACAATCCCTGGAAGATTTGGTAAAGTTGAAACCAGAGACAGAAACCTTATCTTAATGGTCTCTGTGTGCCAAAGCAAAGGGCCTGACTGGTATTTCCATGGAAAAAGAAGCTGATGGAGAATAATTTAAAAGGGCTAATTGATGGTATTTAGGGACTGAAGTTTATAGACAAGGGAAGAAAAAGAAGGAAAAGATGGCTTCAGTGCTTTGAATTTGGATGTCTATAGAGTGATTACTTTGACAGCTATAACCAAATCTGGAGGGAATGGGGTAGGTGGATATCAGAGTTGAAATGAAGGTACTTGATTTTAGGCATGTTTAATTAATGCATTAACAAATAGGTGGGAGCTACAGGGGATATAAAGAGATAACCTGGGTCACCTGAGAAAGGTTGGAGATACAAGGTAGGGTAGGTGGAGAGTTGGGTAAATACAATACTGAAGGAAAAGAGGAGTACTCATAGCTATGTCAGAAAGTAACAAACAGGGACAGAATTTTAAAACTGTAAAATTTTGCTGTTCTGCTCATCCCAGTGCAGAAATGTCTCATGGTCTATTTTAGTAAGCCATGTAGTACGTTGTCAATCCTTATATAAAGTGTCAATCCTTATATAAAGTGGATGCCAGACTTATAAATATTACTGAATTTTGTAAATGAGGCAGTATTAATCTTTCACAAAACATTAATTTGAAAATGATTGAGTTGCTTTCATTTTTTGGTTTCTATGAATATTCGCAAATGTCTGTTTGGGTGGGTGTATGCTTTCCTTAACTTCTTGGAGAGGTACCTAGGGGTGAAATTGATGGATAACATGGTAAATGTATGTTTAATTGTATAAGGAACTCCCACACTGTTTTCCACAGTGGCTATCACATTTTGCATTCACACTAGCAGTTTATGAGATTTCTGTTTGCCTCACATCCTCACCAACACTTGGTATTGTCAGTCCTTTTCATCTTAGCTGTTCTAGTAGATATGTTCTAGTAGATATGTGACAGTATTATTACTGTGGTTTTTATTGTGTATTTCTCTGAAGATTAATGTTAATAATTTTTTCATGTGTTTGTTGGCCATTTATATATCTTTGCAAAATGGTCAGTTTATCTGTTTTGCCTGTTTAAAAAAATGGGATTGTTTGTCTTATTTTTGAGTTGTAAGCATTCTTTATGTGTTTTGAAGACAATTATTTTGTTTTGTTGACTATATTTTGCAAAAATTTCCTTCTAATCTATAATGTGCCTTAAAAAAAAAAAAAAAAGATATCTTTGTAAAAGCTAAGGCTTTTAATCTTGATGAAGTCCATGTTGTCAACCTTTTTTTTTTTTTAATACTTCGTACTTTTCATGTCCTCATTAACAAATATTTTCTTCACCTGATGTCATAAAGGTTTTCTCATGTTTTTCTTCTAGAAATGTAATAGTTTTACTTCTTCCCTTTAGGTCTGAGATCTATTTTGATTTAATTTTTGTGTATGGTATGAGGTAAGGGTTGAGGTTTACATTTCTTCATACATTCAGTTGTTCTAGAAGAGTTTATTGAAAAGAATATTTTTAATCCATCTAATTCCTTGGCACGTTTGTTTAAAATCAGTTATTTAATTGTAAAAATAAAAATATTTAACTATAAAATATTTGTTTAGATCTATTTCTGGAATCTCTCTTCTGTTCCATTGCTTCACATGTCAGTTCTTCCACCAATACCACACTGTCTTCATTTGTGTAATTTGGTAGTCACTTTTGAAGTCACGTAGCATAATCCCTGACTTTGTTATGTTTTTATTCTGTTCTTGCCTTTTTATATAAATTTTAAAACCAGCTTGTCAGTGCTAAATAATGTTAGGATTTGGTTGGAATTGCACTGAGTCTATAGATCAACTTGGGAAATATTACTATCTTAACAATAATATTGAGCTTTCCAAACTGTTAACTCTCTCTTCATTTAAGTTTTCTAGAATTTCCCTTTACAAGGTAAGTGCCCTTTGGTAGTTTTTAGCATGCAAATCATACACATTCTTCATTATATTTATTCCTAAGTGTTTTATATTTTGTTGATAAGTAATAGGTTTTACCATTTCAATCTATAAGGGAAGCTTTGAAACAGAGGTTAAGCAGTATTTCCAGTGTTAGTTATTGGTAGAATTAGAACAGTGTTTTACTTACAAAACAAGTGTGGGTTCATGAGAAAATCCACTTAATTCAGATGAATTAAATCAATTCCATTTTATTAGTTGATGTCTTTGTAAAAAGATTATATATGTGTATGAGTTTATGCTTTCCCTTTCTTGGACATGTGTTCTTTTAACTTCTAAGAACTAGGAATACAGTATTATTCAAGTGACCTGAATTTTTGTTGAGGTTCAGTCTTACAAAGATATACCATTTCAACTCTCTTACAGTATGTGCCAAATTTTGGGGAGCTTGCTGGCTAGGTTTTGATGCCATTAACATAGGACTTTAAAGAATATCAGATGTTTGGTTGTTATTCTTGAGATCTTGTTTGATTCTTGAGATCTGTTCAGGTTCTTACTGGCTTAGGACCAATCTGAATCTTTCATTATATTCATCTGCCATCTCATTAATATGTTATATATATATCTGTTTGATTATTTCTTATTATTATGTAATTGTTGATTTCACTTCTGAAATGAACTTTATAAAAAGAGAATTTGAAGATAAGGTATTAGAGCTGAGCTTCCTTGTCTATACAACTCATACACGGCCGGCTTTGCACAACGAAATGGTGAATGTTTAACAGAAGTATTTTGGATGGGCATATGTCTACATGCTGAAAGGAAAAGCTGTTATGGACCATAACTTTTATACAAGCTGATCAGCTGCCATCTGTGTACAAAGCACTGTGATCAGCAGAGACCTGTTTGTGCCACTGTGTAGACTGATAGCAGCAGATTAATTTAGCTGAGCTGTTCTCTAGCAGTTTGGTCACGAGGACATAGACACTACTAAAGTGTAGTCATCACACCACTCATCTTTGCTGATTTAGATTGTGGCAAGAGAGAAAAACTGCTTGCTCTCTTCACCCCAATACAGCTGAGGTAAGAGCCACCTTTTTTTCTCTGGAAGGGAAAAATGAGAGCAAAAGCAGCCTCTTTTTAACTTTTCCCATACTGTTTTGATTTAAATTTATTCTAGTATTTTCCATAATAATCCCTCAGGCCAGGTATACAGTTCAGCATCATCTGCTCATCTTTGGCAGAGAGCAACTAGTTTGTAGTACAGCTTGGGTAAATTTTAATAACAAAATTGTGTTGCTAGAACAAAGCATTTGACCTTGAAGACTCAGAGGAGAGCAGACATTGCAGATTTCCCTACTTGCCCTTGACTTACAAGAGAGTAGATAATGAATTAATAGAAATTGATAAAGAGTGTCTCTCAGGCAGCCGCTGAGGTCATGAGGTTGGTATGCGGAAAGAGTGCCCATGCAACATGCGAAACACATAGCTGCAGCCAGGAGAGGTGGGTGGGTCATCGAAGCAGGAAATTAGCCATCAGATGGAATGTTGGCCTCTGTACAAGCTATGCCGTGCGCATGGACTCACTGGGAGAAAACACACAGGGAAATGGGGAGTGCTCAGTGCTGCAGAGAAAAGAGCTCCTATAGAAGGTGACAGCACTATTGCTGTTAGTGGTGCTTCAAAGATAACGAAGACAGTGCAGGTTAGATTTTTTTTTTTAAAGGAATTAAAATGTTAGTAGCTTAAATATCTAATGTTTAGTACTTCTGTAGTAAAATAGACAACAAACTACTGAGGAATGAACAGGGGGAACGGTACAGCTATAAGGCCTTCATATTGTATAATAATTTTTATCTTGTACTCTATTTTTATAAGTAGAGTGTAAATGTTAAGATTCACTCTGCAGAGGAGCAAACTTCTGTTAATTTGTATGGGGTGATGGTTGTTAGAATGTTTCTAAGTGAGCCTTGAAAGAAATTTAGAGATGCATAGTGTGTGTTCAGTTTTCCCAATACTTCTGAAATATAAGCTGGTTAAAGTCCGTGCTTTAGAAGCAGTTTGCAATTTACGTACATACATGTAATCTATATATGTACTTGGTTTTGTGTGAGATTTGTAAAATAGCCGTTACTTTTTTTGGGTCTAAGCTAATGAGTATATGGGATCAACTTATTAAGAAAAGATTATATGTATTTTATGAAAGTCTTTCCACCCACTTTCCTTTTATACTGATATTAATATTTATTTTTATATATTTTGCCAATTTTGGAGAATGGAATTGATGGCATCAGCAGTTACTTTTTACCTTTTCCTCCCTAATTTAATTGCTACTCTGCTCTCTGAAGATAATGTTATGTGATTGTTTTTTTGTAAGTCCTAAGCAAATGAATTGGCTTTGGTTTAGGAACGTGAGTCCAGTCTTCGATTTTTTAAGGAAGAAAATAAAATTTAGTAACTGCGTATCATTTTCTGGAAGTGGGTGTGAAAAATTGATATATTGGAGTATTATGTTTTTAATCATTTTGTAAATTAGAATTGCCCACCAGTATAATATCTCTTTGACTCCTGTGTATTCCCTCACTCGATGTAGGCTGACTTGAATAAGTTTACATTCCAATACTGAGAATTGCATTCCACTGGGCAGTTCTGACGTACAAGAAGAATGTGGAGGCCCATACAAAGGGCAAGCTTAGGGACACTGATAGAAGAGGCTTCTGTGCTCTGTGACTGCCTTTCGTGGAAAGCTCACACTAGCAGAAAGTGCTCTTGACCCAACTTGGGAGAGGAAAATGTGGTCACAGAAACTTCAGACAATTTGGCCTTACAACACCTGCAACACCCTGTCTGGTGTTTCATTGCCTATGGGTATTTACAAAAACTAGGTAAGACTGTATTTTCTCAAACTTCATGTTGTGTGGAAGTCTTGAGTTCAGTTTTCTCTATTTTATATTATATGGGAGACTACTTAGTAACTTTTTGTCTTCATATTTTTGGTATTACAAAGTCATACCATTTGCATCTGAAGAAATATTTAACTTAGTTTCAATTTTGCCAGCAATTTTAATTCTTAATTTTTAAATTGTTCCGTATAAAAACTTTAGCAGAAAATTTAATGGGAATGAAAGCCTGGATTGGTATACTGTTTTTAGAGCAGTCATTCCTTAGTCATACTGAGGGAGTACTAGCATTTAGGAATAATCTGTTTCATATGCTGCAGGTGGTCTTTTCAATAATCATTTGCCTGTGGGCTTAATTTTTCTTTTTTTAATGGCAGGCATCTCACAGATTGACCAGAAGTGAACATGTATCACTTTTAGTTGTCATCTTATGGTTGTTTAATACAAGATTATAAGGACATGCTGAAATTACATTGAGATTGAGTAGTCAAAAGGCAAGGTGTACGGTATATTTATGCAGAACAATTTAGAAGGGTTTAAAATAGACCATAATGATCACATTTTCATTCTGTGTAGAAGAAGATTATCAGCATTCTTAAAACACATATACCATACTTCTCCCTTCCACCACCCCTTTTTCCTACTTTATGGCCTCTAACTAGGCACCTTATGTCAAATGCTGGTGTCTGGCTAGAAAGAGCTAATATGTTTTTAAAATATTCAGGCTAACTCTCATTGATAATTGTTAACCTACATCTTTCTTGTTTTTGAAAGACAGCAATTTGTGTGTGTGTGTGTGTGCGTGTGTGTGTGTGTGTGTGTAATGGCATGTCTTACATACAAATACACGTATACACACAAAGATTGAAAGTACTGAAAGACCAGAAATAACTTTTGAAAGATATTTTAATTCATAGTAGAAAAAATAAGCTATGTATCTTTAAAAATTAAGGAGTCTGAAATTTTTAGATATCTTGTTTATCTTGGTATGTGGTATTATGAGTTCCATTTCATAGAAGCAGATGGCCTACTAGTTGAAATTCTGGCAGTAGCTCCCTGAAGAGATTTGATCTTTATAGATTTGACATTCAGATCTTTGCCAGGGTAACCCTAAAGCTCTTTATGGTCATTTGTAATTTTGCTGAATTTGAATTGCCTTCTGAATTACAGTGCTGATTTGTGTTTTTCACTCAATTAGCCAGTGAGTGAGCCTGGCCATTGAGAATTCACCTCTCAATGAAACTCACTTCTTGACTTGTAATTGGGTTATAGCTGTTTGTGTACTTGTCATTCATGGAATATAAATTACTTAAAAAGAGGTACTATATTTAGGGAGTTTTTTGTAAACTCTGTATTGATTACCAAGTTTATATTGGTAATATTGATTCTATTATACGTCCATTGAACATTTGGAAGAGGAATAGAAAGCACAATAATATATATATGTGAGAAATAATATTAGGTAGTCATGCACTGTATAATGATGTTTTGATCAATAATGGACTGCATATACAATGGTCATCCCAGAAGATCATAATATGATATTTTTACTGTACCTTTCCTATGGTTAGATGTTTGGATACACAAATACCATTGTGTTATAATTGCCTACAATATTCAGTACAGTAACATTCTGTATGGGCTTGTAGCCTAGGAGCAATAGGCTGTATCATCTAGCCTAGGTTTATAGTAGGCTATACCATCTGGGTTTGTGTATGTATACTCTGTGATGGTCAGACAACAGTAAAATTGCCAAACAACATATTTCCCAGAACATATCTCCATCCTTAAGCAATGTATGATTGTATGTTAACATATATTATTACTCACACATATTATTTTGCTATGTGTTATATGTCGTATATATAATATATTCACAAATATTTATATGTTAAATTTAAACAAAAGTTTCTCACATGAATCATACAATATGTGAGAAATAATAGATGTTTTATAGAGAGAAAAAATAAAGAACCTCAAATATAGGGTCATGTGTAAAAAATGAGATTAATGTTAGGGGAAAGAAAAATGTTCATGTAATTGACTGTTCCAAATTCTGATTTAAAATAAAGATTAAGTATCCTTAATCCAAAACTTTCAAATCCAGAATGCTCCAAAACTTGAAATTTTTTGAGCACTGGCATGGTACTAAAAGGAAATGCTCATTGGAACATTTTAGATTTCATATTTCCAGAGCAGGGATGCTCCACCTATACATGTAAATATTCCCAAATCCAAAATAATGTAAAATCCAAAGCAGTTCTGGTTCTGAGCATTTTGGATAATGGATACTTGACCTGTATTTCAGTCATATTTGTTTACCTTCTGCCTAACTAGTTCTTTCACACAGTGTTTATCACTTCATTGTTCAATTATCATATAAAAGAGATAGGTTTCCAGTTTTTCTGTCATCAAACATAACTTCTCCTTTGTTCCCAAGATTTGCTGTTTGTTCAAAGTAGAGATTCTACTCTTTCTTATTCAAGTCCCAGGTTTTTGCCAAGAAACCCAAATGTCCTCTTTATAGTGTCTCTTCTAAGTTTTTTTATTGTGGTAAAAAAATGTGTAAAATACGTCATTTTAACTATTTTTAAATGTATGATTACTTTTAAGTGTGTGTTACAGTGACATTAATTACATTCACACAGTTGTGCAATCAGCAGCACTACCTTTTCTAAAACTTTCTGTAACTCCACACGGAAACCCTGAAACCATTACACTTTCCAAACTGCTTTCTCCAAACCTTGGCAACCTCGAATTGACTTTCTGTCTCTCTGAATTTGCCTATTTTAGATATTTCATGTAAGTGGAATCATGTGATAGTTGTACTTTTGTGACTGGCTTGTTGTCTTTAATTTATGATTTCAAGGTTCATCCGTGTTGTAGCAGGTATCTGAACTTCATTCCTTTATACAGCTGAATAATATTACATCATGTGCATATGCCACAGCTTGTTTATCCATTCATCCATTGTTGGACACTTGGGTTGTTTCCACATTTTGACTACCGTGAATAATGTTCTAGTGAACATTGGTGTACAAATATCTGTGTGAGTCCCTGCTCTCAGTTCTTTTTGATATTTACCTAGGGCTAAAATTGCTGTGTCATATATTAATTCTATGTTTAGATTTTTGAGAAATCACCAAACTGTTTTCTACAGTGGTTATATCATTTTACATGCCCACCAGCAATGTGTAGGGTCCAAGTTCTCCACATTTTTTTTCTTTCTTAAAAAAGGGAAATAGTATAAAATTGTACCCATCTTTTTTTTAGACAAAGACTCGCTCTGTTGCCCAGGCTGGAGTGCAGTGGCACAATCTCTGCTCACTGCAACCTCTGCCTCCTGGGTTCAAGTGATTCTCCCACCTCATCATCCCAAATAGCTGGGACTATACAGGCACATGCCACCATGCCCCACTAATTTTTGTATTTTTAGTAGAGACAGAGTTTCACCGTGTTGCCCAAGCTGGTTTCGAACTCTTAGGCTCAAGAGGTCAGCCCTCCTCAGGCTCCCAAAATGCTGAGATTGCAAGCATGAGCCATTATGCCTGGCCAGAAATGATTTGGAAAAGGACTTAATTATCTTTAGCAATCAGATAATTATTATTAAGGAAAAGGACTTAAGTGATGGCCTAGTCTAACCTGATAATCTATAAACAAATAAAATTTATCACATGATGTGGTTAAGATAGTTTGCTAGAGATTGCAGATGATAGAATGAGAGTGTTGGCTTTTCTGTTTTCTTCCTCTTACATGATGAGGCTCCTAATACATGAATCATTGTGTATTACCATGATATAAAGAGGATTATAAACAGAACAAAAATTTCCATAGGAGTCCTTCACAGTGCCTTATTAACTTGGAAAAACTTGTTCAGTGAAATATTTTTTTGGTAGAATTTTAAAACATTTTTTTCTTAAAGTTTATTAAATATGATTACCAAAAATTTTAATATTAGGCCAGTGGTGGTTTACACCTGTAATCCCAGAACTTTGGGAGGCTGAGGAGGGAAGATTGATTGTGGCCCTAAGTTCAAGACCAACCTGGGCAACATAGCTTGACTTTGTCTCTACAAAAATTAAAAGAAAAGAAAAGAAAAAAAAAAAGTAGCCAGATATAGTGGTATGCACCTGTAGTCCCAGGTACTTGGGAGTCTGAGGCAGGAGGGTTGCTTGAGTCCAGGAGTTCAAGGCTGCAGTGAGCTGTGATTGTGCCACTGTAATCTGGCTTGGGTGGCAGAGTGAGACCCTGTCTCTTTAAAAAAAAAAAAAAAAAGTAATGTTAACTGGAGGGAAAGATTTTTGGAGAAGTGAATGAGTGAGTGAAGTGTTACGTTAACCAAGAGAGTTTCACCCAAATTCTCTGTTCTTGATTCTAGTTTGCATATCCCTATGTCAGAAATAATAATTCTTCTCCAATGTTAATGTGAGAATTCACCACAAGCAAGGCAAAGGTGCTATGTCTCTGTTCACTCATGCAGAGTTCTCGGGAGGAATGAGCTTTTTAGTCATATATCAACCGAAATCACTTTACCATAAAAATAAAGTTTTAAGTTGATTATCTTTTTCTGAAAACATTTAGAATAAGTTGATTTGAAAATTCAGGAAAATAAATGCACTTTTTAGGTGAAAAAAATGTTTAACCTAAGCAAGTTAAGTTATAAAGAGAATTAAATGTACATGCATTTTATACTTTTTTGGGATATTTCTATAGTTTGCTACTAAGACATTTCCTATCTCTACTGGAATATTGTCACAGTTTACCTGAGGATGATTTAAAATAAGCTAACAGAAAACTCATTCATGTTAATAATTCTCCTTTACTTACATTATTAATTTGAAAATATTATGTTAGAATTTTCCAGAAGAATTTATGACTGAAACATAAGAATTTGAATGCTTTCTTGTCATTCTGTGTAAATTATTAAAGATAGTTCACTTTCTCCAATGTGTACTTTTTCTAATTGTTTTTAATTTTTATTTATCTGGAAGTTTGGCTTATGTTCACAATTCACCTGAGGTTGTCCTCATTGAATTTTTTTTTTTTTTTTTTCCTAGTTTTGGCAAGCGTTCTGCAGGAAGTTTTAGGCGTGGCTGTGAATGCATTGTTTTAGAACCTTCTGAAATGATTGTGGTAAGAATATTTCTGTGAGGACTGTTTTTCCCCTAATAAATTGTATGAAATAAAGGCATTTTTACAGGCTGCTTGAATACTGTATTTTTGTTGAATAAAAGATATTGTATATTTTCTATAACATTAAATATATTTATTTTACAACTTTTTATTATGAATTTGAGTTCATAATCATAATTTATTATTTATAGGATTCAATTAAATACAAAACAATTTTAAAAGGTACAAGTAGCTAAGTGTTTGTTTTTTGTACTTTGTAATTCACTCTATAGTAATGCCATTTAATTGAAATTTGGGGAGAACCTCTTGATTGCAGGATTTTAGCTCTCTAAGTGTTGATCGGAATGAGTGAGTTACTTTAAATGAATTACTGGGTTTGCTGGTGTGAGAACAATTTTGGAATCTAAACATGCCTCCATTGTGAATAATTGTGAGGACTAACCAAATGGTACTTGTGTTCACTGTTAATTCATTTGTCAAAGTTT